GAGCCCCGTCCAGCCTGGCCTTGAATGGTTCCAGGGATGGGGCATTGACCACCTCTCTGGGCAACCCCTGCCAGTGTCTCACCAGCCTCATCGGAAAAAATTCCTTCCTTCTATCCAGTCTGAATCTCCCCTCTTTTAGTGTAAAACCATTCCCCCTTGTTTTATCGCTGCAGGTCCTACTAAAAAGTCTGTCCCCATCTTTCTTATAAGTGCCCTTTGGAAAACCTCATGGGGGGATCGGCCTTGGTGTGATGGGGAAACTGAGGCAGGGAGAGGGGATGCACCTGAGCTGGAGCATCACGGCCCTAGGTCACAGCTGTGCCGGGGCGGGGGGACCCGGGAGTGCAGTGCTGGGCCCAGCCCCCCCCCGCCCGGGCTGCTGCCGCCTCGGGGTCCCCCATCACCCAGCATCTGCGCCCGTTCGGCATGGGAAGCGCGGAGCAGGATGGGGCCCTCCGGAGAGAGGAATAGTGGCAGCCGCATGTGAAAGCGAGCGGCCGAGGAAGGAGATTAATAAAAGCGATTCTTTGGAAATGATTTTTGCTCCATTCCAGCCTGTTTGCTTCTAAACAGCCTTGCTAATCGCCTCCCAGCAACAGCACAATAACTTCCCTCTGATTTCTCCCCCCCCCTTTTTTTTTCTCCTCTCTCTCGCCTGTCCGAGGGGCACAGGAACACCATCCCTGGGAAATATTTTAAAATAAAAAATATCCCAGCCGACACCCCCGTCCCTCACCCTCCCCTCCCTGCACCCCCCTTCTCCCGTGCACTCTCGATGAACCTGTGATATTGTAGCAATGGCCCTTGAAGTGCAGTGGGGAGGTGATTTAGGAGAATATTAAAGGCAATGTGGAGATTCGAAGGCGCCTCTCTCAGGGAGATCTGGAGAAATACGCAGCACAGATGGGCTGAGCAGATTAAACATTTCCGTCACATTGTTTTCAAATTGTGTTTGCGGTGCCTGAGGGTTGGTACTGCGGTCAGAGCGCGGCGGAGCCGCGGAAAGCTGGGAGCCGCGCGCTTTGTGGAATAAATATTAATACGGCAGTTTCACATGGGCTCCGCCCCCCCCCGCTATTGCCCCCCAGCCCGGCCCCGGCGGCTGGCGGGGCCCCAGCTGCCCCTTCTGCCCGCTCCCGCGCTGCACGGGGGCCCGGCCGCCGCCGTCTGTCTGCCCCGGCCGTGTGTCCCCCGCGCCGTCCCCCCTGGCTGCGGTGTCCAGGCGGGGAGCCAGCTGGCCCCGGGGTGCCCGAAGGGACGTGCGTCCCTCCCATGGTGGCAACCCCAAGCCGGGTCATGCCACCGCCGCGGTGTGCTCAGGGTTGGCTTGTCATCGGGCGCCTTGGTCCGTGGTGCTGCCTTGGTTGGTTGGTTCCTTGTTTTTAATAGGAAATGACTGATGGGCTACATCCTGAATGCCTTCGGTCAGGCCGGTCGCCCCACAGAAAGCCTGAGAACTCATCTCAAGGAGGAGCCGCAGTGTTGCCCTTGCCAAAACTGCCCCCATGGCTCCCCAGGCCCAGGTGGTCACTGCTGCCGGGCCTTCCCCAGCTGGGGACCGTCACCTTCCTCTCCCTCTGTCTCCCCTAGTACTGCTTGCTCTGAGCCCCTTACATCTGCTGGCTTCTTCCCCCTGGGCTGGGACATGGAGAGCCTGGTGGGATGGGATGGGATGGGATGGGATGGGATGGGATGGGATGGGATGGGATGGGATGGGATGGTGCAGCCACCCTGGGCGATGCCGGAGCAGGCACTGCAGACAGGACAAGGGGAAGGAGCAATGCCCCAGCCCCAGCTGTGTGTCCTCAGCTCCTTGTACCAGCTGAGAATTGAATCATTGGAAGCAAGTGGGAATCATTTATTTTTATAGGGATTTACCCTACAAAAGAGCAGCGTGGTGGGGGGCAGGTAATGGTAGGCCATGATCTGAAGCAAAGGGTGAGCGCTGCCCAGATGACTCCTCCATGAGCCAGGCTGGGTGATGTGCCAAGGAAACAGCGTTCCCAGCCGCATCCCTCAGCTGCCGCCGGCCCCGAATTCCCCAAGGACAGGTAGCCCCTCGATTTCAGAGCCTACTGCAGCTCCGAGCCAGTTTTCGAGGTAAATAGATGTATAGCTGACCTGGTATAAAACTCCCCGGTGTCAGCCGACCCCTCGCACGCCCGCCATACCTCATCTATGAATTAGATTCCTCCATTTTCCTAACAATAATGTATGACAGACAAGCACTAATAATGGGGCCAAGCAATCATAAACCGATAAGTCCCTGACTGATTGGCTTTTCCTTCGGCATCCATCAAAGCGTCATTGATCTTCTGTGCAAAGGGGGGTGATTAATGGCCCTCCCGAAGCCCGACGGGGTTGTTTACGAGGGCTGGCGAAGGAGCGCGGTGGCAAGGAGGGCTTGGGAGCACCGGTGGGGAGTAAATATCATCTGCTCGGTGAAGGAAGAGCCCGTGTTTCTCGGTGAGGGGCGGGAGGGATGTCGGACGGGACAATTTGAGCTCAGTGGAGCAGGGAAAGTGCTGCTGGAGAGACGTGGCTGCACGTTTAGGTCCCACCAGGCGGTTGTCCATCTGAGGCCCTGCAGGGGACAGTTGGCCACGTTGCCATCACCACCTTTGTGACTGTGGGCTTGGGTTGTGGGATGTCCCCCCCGATGGGGATGGGGGGTATCTGAAGCTGGGTCATCGTCTCTCCTGGGTGATGCTGGAGGAGCCGTGGTGCAAGGCAGGAGAGAAACCAGGTTGTGGTTGTCGTCTTGTTTCTTTTTCCTCCTTTTCCTTCTCCCTTGTCGATGGAGATTAGCAGCATAAAGCTTTTTACGGCCCCGTGCACCAACCCACCATAAAAGCCCTGATTGCGGGTGATTATCTGAACGAGCGTCTGCTTCGGGTTCGCCTGGCACCGGGGATCCTGGGAATGAAACGTGGAGAAGTGCTTTGAGGGGTTTTCTTCCTTCTGGGAGAACATCACAGCGTTTCAGGAGCGGAGTGAGGCCATCGTGGCCATGTAGAGGATGGCTGAGCAGGGGGATGGCCGCTGGGGTGTTGGGATGACCCCCAAATCCAGTTCCCTGTTACATACCAGCCTGGAAAGGGCACTGGGTTCCCAGTTTGCTCGGCTCTGCTGCATTTCTGGGGACGGGGCAGAGCAATGGCTTTGCTCTGCCTCCTGGCTGATGCCCGGTGCTGTGTGCCAGGGCCCTGGGGGGCTCCTGGCACAGCATCAGCACCCATGGGTGCTGCCTCCAGCACCCTGCCGAGCTCCTGCCATGCAGCATCTGACGGAGGTTGAGCAGGCGGAGGGCGCAGAGCATCCCGCTCCCCTCTCCTGATGCCACCATACCAGCACGCTCGGGGCCCACCGACCTCGCTGGAGCAATTATCTTCCCAATTAGTGCGTTTTCAGTCCCTTCTGTAAAGTCTCAGCTAAATTACTTCCCCCGCCCCAACACAGTCCAGGCAGGTACTGAGCACAGAGGCCCCATTAGCGTGTAATTAGGTAGATTCCAGCAAAACCATCCTCAAGCTCCCTCCTTCTCCTCATCCCCCTCCAAAAGCCGGTATCAGGCATCAGCACGTTAGCGAGATGTAAATTAGCACCTCCAGACGAGAGCAGAGTTCACCCTGCACTGGGCTCTGCCTTGCTGTGCCAGTGCACTCCTCGTTTTAATAGTTTAATAAAAATTAGCATAATTAACGAACATCTGTATGATCCAGAGTGGTGCAATTTGGCACTTGGAAACGAGGACTTAAACATTATTGCTGGGAGTTTAATGTTGTTTTAATTCTTTTTGGCACTGCGCAGTGAAATAAACGCTCGGTGCCGCGAGTTCTCGGCTGGCTCTCATTTGCATTTTCCTCCCTTTGATTATGAGCAATCGCGGACTACCCAGCAATTCATCAAAGCAGAAATTATTTTAAAATACCTCATAGCTTTCAGGCTACGGCAGAGCTGGGGGGGACGAGCGGAGGCTGGGGGCTCCCCGTCGCACCTGGGGTGCATCTCGGCCCCTCTGCCCATGGCTCTCCAGGCTACAGCAAATAGACCCAAATTTTTCCGTCTGGTTTTGCAGCAGGATTTTTTCCTCCCTGGCTGGTGAGGACAGCGGGGCAGGGGGATGTAGCCCCCATCCGTCCCCGCTCCTCCCTATCCAGCAGCATCGCGGGGGCTTGACTCGGTGCTGTTTGCTGGGGTGTGGGTCCCTGGGGAGCATTGGGGTCCCAACCTGGGGAGTGTCGGGACTCCTGGGACCCTTCCCTGGCTCCAGCGAGGGCAGCACCATCTGCAGAGCTGGAAGCCTCGGGAGCAATGTCTGTCTCTGGTGACTCAGCCCCTCTCCCAAGCAAAACCCTTTCCCTGTCGGGAAGCAGGGATGAACTCGGGGACACATTAAATGCCCCAACCAGGCCGGGGGTGTCAGAGCTCGCGTGGGACATGAGACGGGACGTGCTGCTGTGCACATCACTTTTAACATCTCCTTTTAAAAAAAAAAAAACCTCTCTTATTTTGATGGCAAACTTCTTAAGCCTGCGTGTGCTAACTCCTCCTCTCGCGCACACCGGGGGAAGTTTTCTCTGTTATTATTTGCCTCCAATGTCTGCTGTCAGGGGAAAATCACATGTAAATCTGGGGAGGGGACGGGTTACCCAGGCATGATCCACCTGGAGAGGCTTCACAGAGTGCCAGGCTGGGGCCTGGGCCATCCCGAGGGTTGCCATCTGTAACTGAAATACCCCAAAATAGCAGGGTGTGAATTAAATGCTGAGTTTCCAAGCAAGCCCCAAGCCATGCCCTGCAGGACCTGGGGAGAGCGGCCCAGAAGGAAGGGGGGGGTTAGGAAGGACAGGGAAGGATTTGCAAGCGGGAGAGGTGGGACTGGGGTATTTTCGGGTCGGAGTCTGGGGGCTGCTCTCTGTAGATCCAGGTACCGAAGGAAGGGACCTGAGCCACGTCCCCTGCCCTGGCACTAAACCCGCGTCCCTGTGTCTCCCCAGGAGTACGGCGTGTACGGCTGGTGGGTGGGAGAGCTCAACAACGTGGTCGGGATTGTCCCGAAGGATTACCTGGCAGCGGCCTACGACCTGGAGGAGCGATGAGGACCGCGGCACCCCAGGTGAGAGGTGGCACCCCGGGGTGCACCCGCTGGGGAGGCGGCTCCATTCCTGGGGTGCCCCAGCATCTCCAGGGTGCTGAGCCTTGAGGATTCTCTTTGGCTCCATCTCCTGGACTCCATTTTACATGGGAGCAGGCGAGACCGGGAACCACAGTTGCAGCTCAGGGACAATGCCACCCTCTCCGTGTCCCTCCCTGCATTTCAAGTCCTTCAAGCTCCGGGGAGGAACGTGCTAAAACCCCGGCAGCCACCTCCATCGGACCCACAGAGTTGTGTGTCACCAGCTGTAACACCAGCGCTGACACCAAGCGCTGCATAGGCAGTGTTCTTCTCCCAAACAAAACCCCTTATGGAGGCATTTGGCAGATGGGGAAACTGAGGCACGGGTCAGGGCTGGGAAAGTGGAGGGGGTCTGCAGCCAAGCTAGAGGCAGAGTCCTGACCCCTGCCTGGGGCAGCGAGACCTCCACGTTCACCCAGAGATCTCCCACCCTCCTTATCCCCTCTGTGCCCACGAGTCACCGACGTGTGAGGCCGTGTCAGTCCCAGCCTGTGTCTCGGTGTCCCCTTCCCCACCGTCACCCGTGTCTCTCCCCCTCCCCGAATCCAGGTGCTTCTCCCTGGCCATGCTGAGAAACCAGTTACGCTGTCCCCACCACCAGCCCCAGCCTCCTGTGGGAACCCGTTGCATGAAGAGACCCACGTCCCACCACCCAGCCCTTGCACGGTGCCCTGGAGCCCTGCTCTGCCCCATGGTACCCGCTGTGATGCCACCGGGGCATTGCAGGGGCACGGGGGGGGCTGGTAGCCCACAATAAAGCCATTTTCCTCTCCATGTTTGGCTGCTCCAGACTTAGTTGTGGATCTGGAGCCGGAGCTGGGCGCGGGCAGTGGCCCCTCGCCCCCAGCCCCAGCTCTGAGCATCCCCAGAGCCCTCTGGTCCAGTCCCATCCCAGGCCACGACTGAGGATTAACCCTCCTCCTCCTCCTCCTCCCCTCCTCCTCCTCCTCCTCCTCCTCCCGCACTTGGCTGAAGGGCCACTAGATGGTGGTAAGTACCTGCTGACTGCAGCCTTCTCGGGGAGGGTGCCCAAACCCCCTGGGCTGCACCAGAGCAGCCCCCCGGCCCCCGCCAGCCCTCGGCCGGCAGCGGCTGGGGCGCTTGGTGCCGAAGCAGGAGCATCGCCCGCAGGGTGAGCCCAGGCGTCGGCCGAACGGCTTCTCCGGAGCACAGCTGTGCAGATGTTTGGAAGCCAGGCACAACCCGGGGGACCCTGGGGGCATGCAGGGGGTTGCGGGGACACAGCCGAACCCATCCCGGTGCCTGCTGCCTCGCCAGGCTCCCGCGCATGGCCTCGCTCGCACCGGCGAAGGCACCTCCCTAACGGACATGTCTTTGGTGTGGAGGATGGGTTTGGGATGCCCAGAGCTCAGCTTGGCAGGGCACAAGCTTGTCTCAAATCCCTCCAGTGTTCCCGAGCTGCTCTCCCAGCCCCGGCTTTCCGCAGCGGGGGTGACCCTGAGCAGCTGTGAGAGCCCGTGCTGGGACGGCAGGGATCTGCGCACCCGGAGAGAGCAGCGCTCCCTCTGCTCTGCCCCTCGGCACAGTGCTCAGCACTCCCCTGCCTCCGTTTCCCCATCCGTGAGCATCTCGCCCAGGACCAGTTCATTTTTGAGGCAGCTGCAGGGCTCAGTATCCATCTCTCCATCATCATTCCTGGGAGTCCTTTGGGATCCTGGCAGGGAGGAACCAATGCTCTTGCCCAGGCGGATGCTCCGGTGCAAAAAGGACCAGGGCTTGGGACTGAGTGGATGCATCTGCCCCAGCCCCACGTATAGGAACTGGCCTGGCTGTTTGCACCCCATTACCAATCCTGATGCTCAGGCATCAGGAGGCCTGATCCTGCCCCAGATCCGCTGGCTTGCCCGGGACTCCAGAGCTGAGACCTTCATGCTGTGCTTGAGGAGGGGCTGGGGAGATAGGATAGGAGAGGGAGAAGGGAGCAGGATGCTTTGGCCAAGCACGGGCTGCTCCAGCCCCGGGTCAGAGCGGGAGCCCCCCCGTCACATTGCACGGCGTTGGGGAAGCACCGGGGTTGGTTTGCACAGACGTGAGAGGCAGCCTTCCTTGGGGGGTTGAGGATGCGCTGTCTGGAGAGCCTGGCCCGCTTCCAAGCAGCGAGGCTGTTTTTCTGGCAGGCGGTGAGGAGGAGAGAGACGTGCCAGGCTGCGAGGGCGCGGGGAGGGGGCCGAGCCGTCCTCGCCTGCTCCGGGTGGGGAAGGTTACCTTGGGCGGCTCTGCGTGCCCACCGTGTCCCTGACCCCCCAGAGGCGATGGGGTTGCGGCTCCGTGCCCGGAGCTGACTCACCGGCTGCCGTAACCCCTGGCACGGCACTTGCCTGCAGCCATCAGGCCACCGAGGGGCTGAGCCAGCCCCACGCGTGGCGGAGGGCACTGTCACCCCCCCAGCGCCATTTCCCCCAGCTTCTGCAGCAAAGCAGCCCTGCACGGTGCCACCCAGGCGGGACCCCCACCCCCAGGAGCTCTCTGCAGCCCTGGGGACATGGGGTGACAAGCAGGAGCAGGGCTGTTTCCCCCCCGCCATGGCCAGGTCTGCCTCTGAGTCACTGTTTTCCCGACAGCTTTGCAAAGCTGATCAACGCCACCAAAAATAATTTCTGCCTGGCTCTGAAACGCAGCCAGCAGCGGGGCTGCAGCCCCGAGGGGGAAGGATGGGCACCATGGGGCCTTGCAAGGAGGCAGGAGAGGGGACGGAGCCCTCGCTCCAGCAGCCCCACGGGCTGCCCTGTCCAAATCCGCCTTCCGAGGGAAGCCCCGGGGCCGGCTGGCTGCTGGCGAGGCATCAAGCGAAGGACGCGGCAGTGCCAGGCCAAGCTCGCGGTGCAAACCGTGCCGGGGGACCGCAGGGAGCCGGGGGCAGGATACGGCCGAGGGCGCATTGCCTGCGTGAGGCTGCGCGCAGGCAAAGGCCACGCGTGGGCGAGGGCGCGCGTGGGCGCAGGAGCGGGTCCGTGGGCACAGCTGGCCTCACAGCTGCGCCATTTGGAGCCGCACACTCATGAATATACATGAATATGCATGAGGGGGGGCAGCCAATGGCAGCGGCGCTCCGGCGTGCCAGCAGCTGCCAGCCTTCGCAATGAACTTCTCCTGACATTTTGGCTGTGCCTCGACGGGTTTCCAACCCTCCCTCCCCCTCCCCGATGTGTCCTGGCCCCTGCGTGGGGCTGAGACCCCCCCAGCCAGGCCCAGCACTGCAAAACTCACTCCGGGGCCACGGTGTCCCCTCACCTGTCCTGTCTGTCCCCTGCCACCACCCATGCTGGCCCCAGGGACCTTGCTGCTGCCCAGGGCAGGGTCAGCCCCGATGGTTTCAGCAGCTCCAGCCCCGTGGCGAGAGGTGCAATAACCCCCTCTTTTCCCTAAAGCCATCTACCCGCAATTAGCTCAGCCTCGGCTCAGCTCCCTCCGCCCACGCAGCGAGGACAGACATTGCCAGCAACCAGTAAGTCTCTTCTACTTCATTTTTATTTCAAGTCAGAGCACGTCGGCTCTGCCTTCACCAGTGCTGAGGGTGGGAGGAAAAGGTGCAGGAGAGCACAGGGAGAGGCATCAAGAGTAGTCGGAGCCCGAGCGATGCCAGACGCCGACTCCGAGGCAGCTCCATGCTCCTTCTTTCCGGGCAAACTAGATCCTGGCTGTGAGGGCCCCCATTCCCCACCGTGCATGGCAATCGGTGTGCGAGGAAGGAGCCCATCTGGAAGGGGCATCCCCTCAAAAGGGGCAGGGGAGACAAAGTGCCCCTCCGTGCCTCCCCACCGACTCGTTCCCCTGCCCCACGCTCCTGGGGGGGACCTCATCTCTGTTCGTCCCAGCTGCAGGCAGCCTGTGGGGCGAGCTGTGCCAGGAGGCCCCAGGTGTGGATACGGTATCTGCACCCCATGGGTGGGCTGCGGCTCCGCACAGCTGAGACCACCCTCCCCAGGAGCTGCAGGGCGCGGCTGTTAGCAGGGAAACACAGCCTCCCCTGCCTGCACCACGGAGGGGAACACAGGGGACTAAACTGAAGAGCCCCTGCTCCCAGCCTGCTGCTCCACCAAGGAAAGCTTTCCTCCATCGTGTTGGATGTGAGCCACCGTATCCCTGACCCGGGCCAGGGACATGCCAAGAACACAGAGCCTCACTGGCACTGCCACCTAACGAAGCCCTGCTACTGCTCCAGTCAGAGAGCAAAGGCCATGGGAACAACAAACACAGGTTTCACTAACCACTAGGTCTCTTCTCCAAAGAGAAGAGCGATACGAACACACTGCCTGGGACATCAAGGACAGTCGAGAGTCAGCAGGGAGAGAGCACGTGAGCCCCGGACACCGCAGAGCCCAGGACAAGGCCGTGTTCCCAGTGCAGCCCCAGTCCCGCCAGCCTGGGCATCCCTCTGGCTCAGCAGTGGTCCCTCTTCCAGCAAGGGCTGCAGGTCCCGGGGAAGGCAGGCGAGGTCACTAGAGCCGTTTACTGCATCTCGCGCTGTCCGCCCAAGGGCTCCGCTGGCTCATCCGGACTGTCCGAGTGGGTGTCATCCATGCCGAAGTCGCTCCAGTGCGGAAAGGTCTCCAGGCAGCTTGGACCTTGCGGGCTTCCCAGGCCAGCACAGCTGGAAAGAGAGAACAGGTCAGAGCGGAGAAGGGATCCAGGGAAGATGCAGGGCCCGAGGTGCCTGCGCGTCTCCACGTCAACCGCTGCCTCCTTGGCGCAGCCCCTTCTGCGCAGCAGCGGCTGCTTCCCCTCTG